GTCCAGTTCTGGGTGCCGCACTTCAGGAGGGATGTGGACAACATGGAGAGGGTCCAGAGGAGGGCCACATGCATGATCAGGGGGCAGCAGGGCAGGCCCTACGGAGAGGCCACAAGACCTGAACCTGTTCAGCCTCCATAAGAGAAGGCTGAGGGGGGATCTAGTGGCCTGTTACAAACTAGTCAGAGGGGACCAGCAGGCATTGGGGGAGTCCCTGTTCCCCCGAACACTATCAGGAGTGACCAGAAATAACGGTCACAAGTGGGCAGAGGGTAGATTCAGACTAGACATCAGGAGGCGCAACTTCACGGCCAGGGCGGCTAGGATCTGGAACCAATTTCCAAGAGAAGTGGTGCTGGCTCCTACCCTGGGGGTCTTTAAGACAAGGCTAGACAATCACCTTGCTGGGGTCGTTTGACCCCAGTACTCTTTCCTGCCATGGCAGGGGGTTGGACTTGATGATCTGCTCAGGTCCCTTCCGACCCTACTAACTATGAAACTATGAAACTTACCCCCATTTTGAGACTTTGGAATGGGCAAGAGGGTCATTGAGGACCAGATTGTAGAAGAGTGTAGATACCTGATAGAGAACTTTGAATCTTGCAAAGGTAGGTGGTGGGTACTTAACTTCATAGAACTTCTGAAATATTAATGTATGCCCTTGAAGATGCACAAGGTTATTTTCATCATCTCATCAAGCTTCCATCTTAATAGGAAAGGCACTGAATTTTATTGGCAGCATTATTTAGCAATTATTTAAAGGAGAACTGAAAGATATGTTATGAAGCAGTAAGCATTTTACAGCAAGTAGTAGCTCTTCCATTCTCTTTTTGGCACTATTTCTCTTTCCCCACCAGCTGGCCTTTGAAAGCCTGTGATCACAGACTTTTTACTTGCTCCATCTCCAAGCTCTGGGCATAGAAAATATGGCTGTTCAGCTTTGTATCAGTGAGGGAGGATCCAGAAATCCTGGGCTGGGACATGACTTTGATGATGACTCTTTGCCTCTCCAGTTATAGTTCCTTCCTACTGTACTGACATAATCTTTGCTCAGTTCTGGGCCAACAGGGATTGGAATAGAAAATAATTTCAGGAGTGGAGCACCAGTAAAACAATCATTTTATTTTTTATTTTCACACAAGTCTGGAAAAGTGGCATTCTCTACTTCCTTGGTCATGTAAGTGGTCATTTTGGCCATCTACAGGACATTTTTGGCACTTACATGCCAAGAGGAATTCTATTCATGGACATGCAATCATAGAGTAAAATAAAATTAGGGTCAGAAGGGATCTCAGGAGGTCATCTAGTCCAACCCTCTGCTCAAAGCAGGACCATCCAACTATGTCATCTCAGCCAAAGCTTTGTCTACCCGGGTCTTCAAAACCTCTAAGGATGGAGATTTCACCATCTGTTCCAGTGCTTTTACCACCTTCCAGGTGACAATGTTCTTCCCAAATTTCTCCTGCTGCAACTTAAGACCATTGCTTCTTGTTCTGTAATCTGCCACTGCTGAGAACAATCTAGCTCCATTCTCTCTTGAACCATCCTTCGGGTAGTTGAAGGCTACTATTAAATACCCTCTCAGTCATCTGTTCTCCAGACTAAACAAGTCCAGTTCCCTTAGCCTCTCCTGTCATGTTCCCTATCCCTCTAACCATTTTTTGTTTCCCTCCACTAGACTCTACCCCTCACTGGAGCAGGGTAGGAGTGGCTAGGATTTCCTTGCACCCAGAGATATTCATAGAGAAGGCAAGGGAGGGGTGGGATGTGGGGGGAGAAAATGTGCTTCTGAGAACAGGAGTGTAGACAAGGAGTGCTGCAAGTGGGAGGGTGGGGATTTCTACCTCATTATGGGACTTATAGGTGCAGCTCCTGCAGTATGGTATGCCTGCCTCCATGGACATGGGGAGACGCTGGCAGCTGAGCATCACCCCTGCAGCACTAGATGCCCCTTTTAAAATTCCTGGATCTGCCTACGGTCAGAGACAGCCAAGCTGCAACCCTTTCTGTGCAAGTAGGGTGGAGAACTCTAGATCTTTGCCTTGCAAGATATGTGCTATAGCCCCTGAGCTACAGAGGCCCAATCTCGACTGGCATCTCAGTGAACTCCTGTCAGAATGATAAAAACTTACTATTAATCATATTTGCACAATCTCTTCTCCATTCGAACTTTCTTTTTTTAAAGGAAAGCCCTTTGAGACCATCACTATAATAAATGGAGCAGTAGCTAATATCATTGTATCAGTATTGCTTGGAAACTTGTTTGACTATGAAGACCCCTAGTTCATAAGACTCCTAAATTTAATCAGTGAAAATGTAAGGCTTGTTGGAAGTCCTTCAGTTGTGGTAAGTTTGAGCATTTTAGTGTCACTGTCCAAACACATGCATGTAACTACATGCTATATGTACTATATAAAATAATTTCTATTAACCAGAAACAGTCCTGCTAATGAGAAGTGAAACATAGAGTTCTCTAGGTATCTGCCCCAACAAAGACCACCATAGAAGCTACAGGTCCACTGACAAATGAGGGGATGAGAAACAGAGACATTAAGGGTGAAATCCAGATTTCTCCCTGAATCATCACATACACATTAAAAAAAAAAATGAAACAAAGTGGATTTCCATACTGGGAGCACTGTTTACCTGTGGGGCCAACCAAAGTCACAGGGAGCAGGGTGAGATGGAAATACTTCCAAATCCATGAATTGTGGCTCCTGGATGACCTCAGCCCAAAGCAAATCACAGAGAGGGAGGAGAATTAGGCATCACAACACTGAAGAATGAGCCTCCTATCTTCAGCAGGGTTATTCAGGAGAAAAAGAGCTTGGCTCCTACCATCTCTAAACAGTGAATGGGATGAGTTTGGGCACATACACACTATAGAAACAGTGCAGTGTGGATGGGATGTTCCTGAGTGTGCTTCTGCCACCTCCTCCTGACACACTCCAACCACCGAAACACACCACTTAGCCAACTCCATGAGGTTCCCCTGTAGCCACCTTTGACCTTGAAGGGTATATGCAGACGAAATGGGGGCCCTAAATTGAAGTGGCGGGTTTTAAAAAAACTCCTCTTCCTCGGAGTTTTTGTTTGCTGCGCCCCAAATCATTTAAGGCACGTTATGCTGCCAAATTTCCTACAGCGGCTGGAATTAATGTGCAATATGCCTCCGAGGCATGCAAACACCGACACCATTAAAGTGGTGCAAAAGCATTTAGCCTCTCATTTCATCTACACACGATTGGTCTCCAGCATGCTTAAGCCAAGCCATAGAGGATGACCCCAGAGTGGTATCACAAGTGTACTTCCAGGTTTGCAGTGTATCATGGCTGTCTTATTCTGTCTTATTCTGAGCCAGCTGCTTCTATGGTGCTGACAGATCCTTAGGCACCTCTGCAGAGTAATTGAGAGATACTAGGTCCAGAGCAGGGAGCCACTAGAGATAAACAATAGGCAAGACTGGGGCACAGGGATCGGTCTGAACACCTGGTGCTTAGGCATCTAACTCAGGGCTACACATCAGGCATTTCTATCTACTGCAGATCCAATGCTCTGTGCCCTCTACCAAGTGCCTATACCTAACTGAAAGACTATCAATGCTGGTGGCACTGCCACCCACTTTTTCCATAGCGGCTCTGTGGTTAGAGCAGTCATCCACGAAGTGGGATACCCCACTCTGCCGTGACTGATTCAGGCTGGACATAAAGAAGAACTTCTCTACTGTCCGAGCCACCAAGGTTTGGAATAGACTGCTGCCGGTGGTGGTTCAAGCACTCACTTTGAACGCCTTCAAGACACTTTTGGATGTTTATCTTGCTGGGATCCTATGATCCCTGCTGACTTCCTGCCCCTGGGGCAGGAAGCTGGACTTGATGATCCTTCAGGGTCCCTTCCAGCCCGAATGTCTATGAAATCTATGAAAATACGGATTCCAAGTTCCTCTCAGGGTCCAAACCCACCAACCCTATTTCCCAAGATGGTGCCTTAAACTCAGACTATAAAATACACTATGGGGGGGAGGGGAGGTTGGGAGGTGGGGAGGGAGAAGGACACCCTTTTTGTTGAAGCTGGGCAATTGCTTAATGTGCAGTATGTTATTCATGGAGCCAGGACTGCGTGTGCAAAAGATCATGACTGTACAGCTTGGTGAGTAAGGTGCTCAACTGGGGACGTGGAGTCCTATTTCTGACCCTTGCTTAATTATGTAGCCATTGGCTAAAAAATAGAAATAATTCCAAACGAGGAACCAGAGCACAGGACTTTTCCTAGTCACTGGGCTATATTCATCTTCCCTGTCATCTCCCTGGACAGATGTGTCTGCTTATCTAAAAACTGCCCTCATGCCCCACTTGGGGTGATGTTGAGCTCTGTCTGTGTGATGAAATGTAGTGCTATGTAGACATACCTGAGTTAGCTCTGAGCAGTTCCTACTGTCAAGTACAAGTTAACAACAGTGCTGCACACACACCCTTGTCTGTACCCCATCCAGATCACTCGAGACCCCCACACAGGAGAACTAACCTTGAACCAATGCAGCCTGGTACCGTGACGTCAAAAAAAGATATCAGTGCTAATGGCAATGAGATAAAATGAGGCCTCGAAATAATTAGCTCATCTAAAACTGTAAGATCAGATTAATGTGCTGTGCTCACCCTCTTGTGACCAAACAGGCTCAGTACCACACAAACGAAAAGAAAGCCCCCCCATTCCTAACAGCTGAGCTGACAGGACAGAGAGAAAAAAAACCTGCGTTGAAACCTGAGCAGTCAAAGAAGAATCTGTTTGTAGTCTTGATTGGCTGACACAGAGTAAAACCAGATAAGAAAAGTTATAAAAACTTTCCCTGTCCTTTGTTCGAAGAGACCATCTCTACCTCGGGTAGAGACACTGCTACGCAACCCAAAAGCAACTACGTAGGCCGGCCACCTACGTAGCCCGTCTCCCGCCACCGATATTTTCCCGGTGTAACCCGACTCTGCATGCCCGTCTTCTCGTTGTTAAGCTCTCGGAAGCCTTGGTAGGCTAGCAGCTCCCGATCGATCTAATCAACGCCTGACTCTGTAACCAAGACTCCAGCCTACGCTGCAACATTTGTAGCGTAAGTAAATAAACAACTTTTCTGTAACCACATGAATGTAACGAATGCCGGACTCCTAGTCGCCGTTAGTACCCGCCTGCTCGAGCGTGTCGATCGTTATCAACCCACCGGTCTCTCACCGGGTCGGGACACCTACCAGATTCAGTCTAGCTGCATTAGAGATCTGCTCTAGGCAGGTGAATCCTCCTGAGAAAGAGAGTATTCAGCCTCAGGCTTCATGCTAGACTGCTCCTGTGGTGCTTTCACAATTAGGTATGGGGTTCCTCTATGGCACTGCAGATATACCTGCAGTGGTTTTTACCTGCAGGGGCATACAGATATACCTGCAGTGGCTTTTACCAATCAAATGGACTCTCTAAAGCAAAAAAATATATACTGATTTAGAACACAGGTGTCCAACCCGCAGCACATGGGCTACAAATGGCAAAGGCAGCTGTTGTGTATACCCAAGCTCCAGGCTCTCAAAAAATAGACACACCAGAAAGGAGGGAGTGGGCATGAGTTTCTGGCTGCCTGGAAAGGAGCAGCAGCAGGACGCTACAGTGAAAAGAGTCATCAGGTGTCACACCTAAGAGCCAGGTGAGACTTTCCCTGGTCCTGCAGTCGGTGCCAAATTAAGGGCATCAGATGCTTGATCATCTGCAGACCCTGGCTCTTAGTAGAGACATCTCCATCAGCAATATCCAGCTGAAACTCCACTCTGTGCACTGGGAGCTTTGAGTCTCCCTGCCCGTCTGCCTCCATTGTGGTTTCTCAGGGCACAATCTTATCACATATGCATCTGAGAGGTGGGGATCAGAGCATAATTTGGGGAGGGGGCCAGGCTTAACTTGTGGCATGCCTGCCAGAAAGATTGGTCACCACTGATTTAGACCAAGAGCAGTTCGAACAAGTCATCTCTATTCAACAGTAAACTGTACTGGATGCATACCTCGTTCTTCTCTGGGGCTCACCATTCCCTGGTGCTGGAAGCCCCAGTTCCTCAAACTCGCCTGCAGATCATGTCTGTCAGCCTCTAGTCTCAGAAAATTATTATCAAATGATGGACTGGACAGTTCCCCTGGTCACTGGCCACCCTTTCCCTGCCTAGAAGATATCCTTGCAAAACAAGGGTTGATGGAGAAGATAAGAGTATTGAAGCCAACAGTCTCTTCATAGCTAGTGCTCTTACCTGGAAAACCACTGGGTTGATTCTCTGCTTCTTCTTTTCACATTGCTCACTACAACCAAGAACATTGGCATATAATGTTCTTTCCAATATCCCAGTATAAATTATATGGCTGTTCCCAATAACTAGTTTGCATATAAATATACTTATTTTATTTACAGTAGTGACTATATTATGGCATATCAGCTCCACCTCTGACACTGAGCTTAAAGGACGGTCACTGATAATAGCAGAACTGGGTGACAAATAAAATGAGATTTTTTTTGAAAATTTCATGCAGGTATTTTGGTAAAACCTTGATGTGGTGTGTGCACATTTTCCACACACTTATACTACACATTCTGTCTCCTAGCTCCCATGCTCAAGTCCTGTTAAATATACATTTGCTTGAAGACACAACATCTGCAATGCTCTTGCAAGAAGCAGAGTGGAGAGTAGTCTTCGAATTTCCATTTCACTCCTGTGCCGCTCATATGCAGCAAGGATATGAGGAGCGTTGGCATGTCGGCTGCTTACACCCCGCCTCATTTTTATGATCTGTAAAATAGGTATAACAAACTTCACTTAGTTTTTTGAAGTGCTTCCAGGCTTTCTGTAAGTGTATTAGGTGGTTTAAGGTATCCAGGTGGAAGCTGTATATGTCTAGAAGAAAAGGCAACCAGAACTTGTAGTAGAGATGGTATCCTTTATTAAACCAACAAGAGTTTTGCAAATAAAGAAGTTTTTTTGCAAAAATCTTGATAAAAGATATCATCTCTGCTACGAGTCCTGATTGCCCTTAGGAGGGTTGAGTATTTTTTACACTACTCTAACTTACTTCCACATCTTTTGTTTTTTAGATCTATAATCGGTTTCCAGCCCTTGGATTTCTCTCCAAGGATTACAAAACTGTTCTTCAAAACAGGGATGAGTTTCATGCTTTTACACAGGTTATTTTCAAAGAACACCTCAAAAAGCTAGACAAAAATGACCAGCGAAGATTTATTGATGTATTCTTCATAAGACAGAAGGAGGTATTCAGTCCCTACAGCTTATTCCAACTTGCATGTTTCCTTCTTGTATCTTGGAGTTAAAAGCTCATTGTATGGAAGTCTAGCATTGCCAATGCACAGGCCTAACAAACTACTGGAGTTATGCAAATCGCTTGCTGCACTTAGCTCCCTCTAAACCATGTAGACCAATGGCTTGAAGTTGTAGCAAAATACAACAGGTTTTGATTGGATATTAGGAAAAATTCCTTCACTGATAGAACAATGCAATAATCATAGAAACATAGAAAAGGAGGGTTGAAAGGGATGTCAGGAGGTCATCTAGTCGAACCCCCTGCTCAAGGCAGGACCATTCCCAACTAGATGATCCCAGACAAGGCTCTGTCTAGTTGGTCTTAAAAACCTCCAAGGATGTAGATTCCACCACTTCCCTGGGTGACCTGTTCCAGTGTTTTACTACCCTCCTAGTGAAAAAATTCTTCCTAATATCTAACCTAAACCTCCCCTGCTGCAACTTGAGGCCATTGCTCCTTGTCATCTGCCACCCTTGAGAACAATCCAGCTCCATCCTCTTTCAACCCCACCCCACTTTCAGGTAGTTGAAGGCTGCTACTAAATCTCCCCTCAGTCTTCTCTTCTCCAGACTAAATAAGCCCAGTTCCCTCAGTGTCTCCTCATAAGTCATGTCCCCCACTTCCCTCACCATTTTTGTTGCCCTCCACTGGACTGTCTCCAATTTGTCCACATCCTTTCTGTAGTGGGGCCCAAAACTGAACGCAGTACTCCAGATGTGGCCTCACCAATGCTGAATAGAGGGGAAAAATCACTTCCCTTGATCTTCTGGCAACACTCCTACTAATACAGCCCAATATGCCATTAGCCTTTTTAGCAACAAGGGCACGCTGCTGGCTCATATTCGGCTTTCTGCCCACTGTAACCCCCAGGTCCTTTTCTGCAGAGTTGCTGCCCAGCCAGCCAGTTCCCAGCGTGCACTGGTGCATGGGACTGTTCACAATGCAAAAGACTGCCTAGGAAAGTTGCGGATTCTCCATCATTGGAGATGTTCAAAAAGAGGTTGGACAAGCATTGGTCAGAGATAATGGAGGAGTAGCTATGCCTAAGCTCTACTGTGAGTATTTCCCATGCTTTTGGGCTTTACTGATTGCCACTTGGGGCTGAGAAGGATTCCCCGCCTCCACCCCTCTACTACATGTCAGAGATATATATTTTTTCCACCTTCCTCAAAAGCATTGGATGGTGTCTGCAGCCAGGGATGGGGATTTTGCCTGGGGTGTGCCAGTGCCTCTTCTGGGACACAAACTTGGAGATCCTGGATAAAGCATCTTACCCTGTCCTGGGGGCCGAGGTAACAAGGGACACTTACCTGAAGCCCAGGACGGGAGAGATGCAGAGCCAGAGGGAGAACCAGCGTGGCTCGTTAGCCGCATCTTTGTACAGCTGCGGCCAGCAGCTGACAGCATGGTCAGATGCCAGCCAGCGGATTTAAAAATGGTGGCCACTGCTCCGGAGGCGGTGGGTAACCCGGAGGCCAGACTGCTGTTAGGGCCAGCGATGGGGCAGGCTCCATGGGACGGACAACGCAGAGCCAGCATGCCAGAGGGAGCAGTGACCAAGAAGGGAAGCCCAATGTTGGGGACACTGTCGGGTCGACCCAGAAGCGACGGATCAGGTGAGCGACGGAAGATCAGGACAACCCAGGAGGATTCAGAGGACCCCGAAGTAAGTGCCACGACGGTGGGTGCGGGCTACGCTGAAGAGGGGTGAAAGACGGAGGACCACCTGGCTGGAGGATGATCAGGGCAGGATCACTGCCAAGACCAGCAGATGGCGATTAAGGAACACGAGCGACCGAGAGGAGCTCCTTTCCCCCCCTGTTCATGCTAATAGGGATCTGGTGGAGGGTCAGCGAGGTAGTTAGGATGGCAGAACCTCCAACTGGGGAGTGTCGCCCAGGGTGCACAGGGTGAAGGGCTTGTGGTGTGGGGCCTATAGAGGCTGTGGCTGAGGCACCGGTGCAGGCTGGTGTGAAGTGGTCAACATTAGGGTAGGAGTATCCCAAGG